GGGAGTCGGGCGCAGCCCCAAGACATCTGCGCAGAGATCCGAAAGCTTACGGCAGGTTCGTGTCGTGCCGACTTCGGCGCCGGCTCGTGACGCCGCAGGGATCCTTCACACCTGAACGATCGGCCGTTTCCCACACGTCCGATCGTTCAAGCTCGGCCGATTTTGGGCCGCCACCAGCATTCAACGTGGAACGCGGGCGGCGGGGTCGCCGTCAGTCGACACGACGCGAAACTACACGCTCCTTTTTCGGGTGCCGCGATCGGGGGGAAGGCTGGAGGAGGAGGAGGAGGAGGATGGGAGGGGGAGGAGGAGAGGAGGAGGAGGAGGAGGAGGAGAGGAGGAGGAGGAGGAGGAGGAGGAGGAGGAGGAAGGAGGAGGGGGAGGAGGGGGAGGAGGAGGAGGAGGAGGAGGAGGAGGAGGAGGAGGAGGAGGATGCACAGGGGGGGCCGCTTCTTGCCTCTCCGCCCCTCGCGCGCGGCCCTGTTCGCGCGCGACTCGCGCTCGCGCTCTGGCGCGGCGCCGCCGCGGCGGCCCCCGCGCGGCTCGCGCCGGCGGCGGCCTCGCCCGGGCCGCGCGGGCCGCTCGGCTGCGCCCGGGCGGCGGCTCCGCCCGCGTCCTCCTGGCCGCGCAGCTGCTCAAACGACGCGAAGATCGGGACAAAATCGGATCGGGATTCCCCATATCTTCCCCATATCTTCCCATATTTTCTGGGTGTCTGCCTTCCCCCCCACTTCCCATAGTTTCCCATATGTTCTGGGGAATCGAAGATGAATTGTGTCTGTGTGCTTCTTTTCCTCCTGAACAGCTTGCACGACGCAGCTCACGCCTCAGAGCTCACACCATAGACTAAAACGACGCGAAGATCGGGACAACATCGGATCGGGATAGCTCGAGATCTCTGAGAGTCGGCGGGTGTGGAGGATGCATTGGGCGCCGCGGCCGCTCCAGAGCGTTCCGGAACGCTCTGAGAGCGCTCCGAAACGCTCTGGAGCGATTCATCCCGATGCTAGCCCTGTTTTAGCTGCGCCGGGTCCTGCAGGTCCAACACAGATTCTCGCCATCGCTTGGACGTCCATTCCCTGTGTTTTTTTCGCCAAATGATCAAGCATGCTCCTCGATGGTCCTCGCCGAAGGGAAAATGCACACGTCCGAGCGATGCCAAGGATTGGAGTGGCGGAATCTTCGCCGTTTTCGGCCTCTGGGGGCCCTCGCCGGGCCTCGGGAGCGTCGAGAAACGACTCAGGGCGAGAAGCCGGTCCTGGGGAAGCGGTCCGAGCCCCCAGGGCCCACGCATCGAAAGAATTGGAGCAGCCCGATGTCCAGGCTAGGACATACTAGCACTGTGTGTCCTCATTGGAGGCGTGCGTGCGACACAGATATATAGTAGCAGCAATTTGTCAGAGTGAGGGGGCCGAACGGTCATTCATTGTTCCTGAGTGCGTGGTTGAAGCGCGGATCCGTGGTGAGGATTATGCTTGTTGTTGTTGTTGTTGTTGTCGTCGACCCACCTCGCGACCCACCCGCGACCCACCCCGCGACCCAACCGCGACCCACCCGCGATCCACCCAGCGACCCGCTCGCGACCCACCCGCGACCCACCCGCGACCCACCCGCGACCCAGCCCGCTACCCACCCGCGACCCGGCCCGCGACCCACCCACGACCCACCGTCGAACCACCCGCGACCCACCTGCGACCCAACCCGCGATCCCCCACATTGTTTTAACATATAAAATCGGCGCCTGCGGCGGGCTCGTTGTATAGCTTGAAAAATGCTGCGGCGGGCTTCTACAAAGCATTGCAGACTGCCGACGTCCCTGCCGCCCCCTCACTCTTATCCGCAACTGCGGGGTGCTACGTAATATCTCGATCCCCGAGCGGTGTGGCCATGAATAGCCCATCACGGAGCATGTGCTTTGAGATTTCTCGGCGCGCGCGTCCCCCCAGGGGGGTCGACGCACACATAGTATCAGTATGTTGGGGTGACGCCGACTGCAGGCCCCCTCGCGCCGCTACACGGATCGCGGGGAGAGGTTTTTTGGGTGATTTTCTGACCCTGGGGGCCCTGGCGCCCAGACCCCCTCGAGACATGAACAAAATCACGGCGGGAAGTTTTTGGTGATTTTCACCCTCTGGGGGCCCTTGCTGGGCCCCTGGACCATCAAAAAACACTTGGGGATGAAAACTGGTCCTGGAGAATGGGTCCAGACATCTGCAGAAAGAGACCAGACCTCTGGGTGTCCAAATTTGGGGAAACGAAAGAAATTCTACGATTCCAGCTACTCCCTGGACCCTGGACCTCTCCCAGGGCGCGTTCTGACCAGGATTGCGAAACGAATTCAACCGTGGCGACAAGGGCTTTCCAGAAAGAGCAGCGGTACCCGCATCGTTTCCTCCTCTTCGACCTCTGGGGGTCCACACTGCGACAAGCCTGAAATCCGACATTGCAACACAAAAAACAGCATCGCTAAAAATCACGGCCAGAGCCCTGGGTGGGGGAC